TTAAAATTTATGTGTTAAAGCGCTTATTCCATTAAAATTTAAAATTTGGAAAAATTGACAGAATTAATGCCATCTTTCACTGGTCTTCCCATAATAACCTCACATTTACGTAATCTCAGAATAATTTCACCTTTGCACCACATCTTTTTTCATTGGACCATGAGCTGTTGATGACCTATTACACCAAGGTTTTTACCATTTCTTTGAAAACCTTATATAAATAATCTCATCTTTCATAAATCTGTTCAAAACGGTCTCGTGTTTCATTTTTTATTCTCTCTCTAAAATTCTTCTTTCTTTATTTTCATCCCTAGACACTTTTTATTCCTTTTTCTATCCTTTTGTTCTTATTTCTTTTCCTTTTTTATTCTTCTATTTCTTACTCTATTAGGAGATTTTTTTTGTGTTGTGGGGAATGTGAGAGATGTGTGTTAGTTCATTAGCAAGCCTCCTTTAAATAGGAAGAAATAAGGTTTACAAGGCATGGGCCAATGGGCCATATAATTAAATGCACACAAAACCCTAAATACACTTTCTATCTATAACGAATGCACATTAAAGGTAATTTCCTTCAACACTTCCCCTTGTGCTGAGTTGTAGATAGAATGTTGCACTCCCTGTTGCCTTGTGGAATCTTCGTCAAGTAACAAAAAAAAACCTGTGGGAAAAATAAGCCTTGACGAGAGATTAGAGTTTATTGGACTTCGTTCATTGAGTCCTTTTGGATTCTTTACTTTGATCGATACTCACAGTTACCTCGTTAAAAACCTTACCAAGTAACAAAAAACCAATGGGGAAAAAATTAAAGCTTGGTTTAAGGAAAAGAGTATAACGTGAGGGTGTAAGACTCCCCCTGAAGTCTACACCTCCCCCTGATATTTACATTAATCAGGGGATTTCAGAAAACTTACGCATTCCAATGTTTTTCACATGTTTTTCGAATGTGGCCTTGGGCAATGACTTGGTAAACAAGTCTGCTACGTTTTCTTCCGAACTTATTTGATTTACTTGGATCTTGAGGAAGGCCTGTTGTTGCTGATTATAGAAGAACTTAGGAGATATGTGTTTTGTGTTGTCACCCTTGATGTATCCTAATTTCATTTGTTCGATACAGGCTGCATTATCCTCGTAGATGCAGATTGGCTCTTCAGTGGTAGGCTTTAAACCACTAGTTCCTCGAATGTGTGCAATGATAGCTCTTAACCATATACACTCACGGACCGCCTCATGTAGAGCAATGATCTCTGAGTGGTTCGAGGAGGTAGCCACAAGGGTTTGCTTAGTTGATCTCCAGGATATCGCTGTAATACCCCGGCCCCGTAGGCCCCGAGGTAGTTACTTCTGACCTCTAGTACTGTCCTCACAAACCGCCACTAGCCTTTTCCGCGCACTTTGTCCTCACTCGTGCGCGCCCTGAGAAACTTCCCAGGGGGTCACCCATCCCAAGACTACTCCTGTGCAAGCACGCTTAACTTTGGAGTTCTTGGCTAATGAGCTCCCTTAAAAGGAGATGCACCTTGTTGGTATGAGTAGTACTATTAATCCGTTTAAATTAAATCTCAAGTATTACAATCGCCGTGTTCCCGATTGTGAAAACATAGCCAGTTTGGGAACGGCCTTTGTGAGGGTCGGAGAGGTATCCATCATCAGCAAAACCTACCAAGACATCAATTGGGGTTTTCAGGGGGGTGACCATTTTGTCCTTTGTGACCACAACTCCATTTGTGGTTTTCTTCGTCTCTCCGTAGGGAAAGAACAGTCCCAAGTCACTGGTCCCTTTAAGATATCTAAAGATATTCTTGATACCGTTCCAATGACGCTGCGTAGGCGCAGAGCTAAATCTAGCTAACAAGTTCACTGAGAATGTTATATCGGGCCGAGTGCATTGTGCTAAGTACAATAATGCGCCTATTGCACTTAGGTATGGAATTTCAGCTCCTAATGCCTCCTCGTCATCTTCATTTGGACGAAATGGATCCTTTTTAGGATCTAGACTTCGGCCCACCATGGGAGTGCTAGCAGGGTGCGCTTTATCCATGTTAAATCGCCTGAGTACCTTTTGGATATACGCATACTGGTGGATTAATACTCCACAAACTCGATGTTCTAATTCAAAGCCTAGACAAAATCGAGTTTTCCCAAGGTCTTTCATCTCAAACTCGGATTTCAAATAGCTTGCGGTTTCTCTTATTTCGTCAAGAGTGCCGATTATGTTCATGTCGTCGACATATACAGCTATGATTGCAAATCCAGAACTCGTTTTCTTTATGAATACGCAGGGGCAAAGCTCATCGTTCTTATATCCCTTCCTAATCAAGTAGTCACTTAGGCGGGTATACCACATCCGCCCGGATTGTTTTAATCCGTAAAGTGAGCGTTTCAATTTTATTGCAAACGCACTCCGTGGTTTAGAGTCACTTGATTTAGGTAGTGAAAGTCCGTCGGGTACTTTCATATATATCTTTGAATCAAGATCCCCATAGAGATATGCAGTAACCACATCTATCAATTGCATTTCCAATCCTTCAGAAACTGCTAAGCTGACTAGGTATCGGAACGTGATAACGTCCATTACGGGAGAGTAGGTCTCCTCGTAGTCAATCCCAGGGCGTTGTGAGAAACCTTGCGCCACTAGGCGAGCCTTATACCTTAAGACTTCATTCTTCTCATTACGCTTTCTGACAAATACCCATTTATGTCCTACAGGCTTTACACTTGGTGGGGTTAGCACTACCGGACCAAATACCTGCCTTTTTGTCAGGGAATCTAATTCGACCTGAATTGCTTCTTTCCATTTAGGCCAATCAGCTCTTTGTTGGTATTCTGCCACAGAGCGAGGTTCGATATCATCATGCTCTATAATTTCTTGAGCAACTGTAAATGCAAATATATCATCGATGTGTATGGAAGATCTTTCCATTAGCACATGTGCATTTTCATAATCCATAGAGATTTCCTTGTTTTCTAGAATCATTTCGATCATCGGAGCGTCCTCCAGTAATGATTCATGGACATAACTATAATCGGAGATAATCTCATGTGATGGATGTTGTTCATCGATGATTAATGGATTAGGTTGTGCCGTACTCGTCCTCTTCTTCCTTGGACGAGTATCAATCGAACCGAGTGGTCTTCCTCTCTTCCTTTGAGGAGCCACGACCTCAACCACACCTCCACTAAGTGTGGTTGCAGTGCCTCCTACTATGGCACTGTGCCCTCCCTTGGGGACTTCTAACCTTGCAGGCACATTTGCAGCTGGTATGTGTGATCTTGTCACTTTTGCAATATCAGAAAATGCATCAGGCATTGAGTCTGCTACATTTTGTAGGTCTATTATTCTTTTCACTTCACTTTCACAATGTGAGGTGTGGGGATCAAAATGAGACAGTGTAGGAACACACCAGGATAATTCACGTCGTTCTTCGGAAAAGTCCTTTTTCTTATCTCCCCCTAACGACGGGAATGTTGTCTCATCAAAGTGACAATCCGCAAATCTTGCGGTGAAAAGATCGCCTGTCAAAGGTTCTAGATAGCGGATTATTGTTGGGGATTCGTATCCAACGTATATACCTAATCGCCTTTGAGGACCCATTTTGGTGCGCTGTGGTGGCGCAATTGGCACATAGACTGCAGAACCAAATATGCGTAAGTGTGAAATGTCAGGCTCATATCCAGTTACCAACTGGTATGCAGAAAATGGTTGGTTCGCAGTGGGCCGAAAGCGAATAAGTTAGGCTGCATGTAATATTGCATATCCCCATGCAGATATAGGCAAGTTGGTGCGCATAACCAATGCCCTAGCTATTGTTTGTACTCTTTTAATAGTAGCTTCTGCGAGACCATTTTGTGTGTGTACATGGGGAATAGGATGCTCTATGTCGATCCCGATAGACATGCAATAGTCATCAAATGTCTTTGATGTAAACTCTCTAGCGTTATCAAGTCTAATAGACTTTATAGGATGATCGGGGTGGTGGGCCCTTAAGCGAATTATTTGTGCTAGGAGTTTTGCAAATGCAGCATTTCTTGTGGACAATAAGGTAACATGCGACCAATGGGTCGATGCGTCCACCAGAACCATAAAGTATCTAAATGGTCCGCATTCTGGATGGATCGGTCCACATATGTCTCCTTGAATTCTTTGTAAGAATGAGATGTTTTGTTTTGTGTCTTTAGCATAGGATGGTCTCGATCCTGTTTTTGCTAAGGAGCAGGCTTTGCAAAATGAGTTTTGTAATGTGGACATAGTTAGGGAAGCATGGACTAGTTCTTCTTGTGCTTTAGAAGATAATTGTCCTTGTGGAGGAGCCGCATGGTTAACAGTTTGTACTGTGCTTTAGAAGATAATTGTCCATGTGAATTCTTGAGAATTCGAATCATCATGTCACGACCGGGGTGACCAAGGCGATCATGCCAAAGCCTATACGAGTCTATGTCCAACATTTCATTGTTGGAGACCGCATATGATTCGAAGATTCGAATAGTAGTGACATAGAGTCCACTAGATTGACTCATTAATTTTTCTAATATGCGTTTTCTTCCGCTTTTACTAGAGGTAATATATAGGTATTCTATCCCATCCTCACTATGAGTTTCAACGTGGAAATCATTATCCCGTATATCTTTAAAACTTAATAAAGTTCGAGTAGCTCTAGGTGCATATAGAGCGTCTGTGACGTGGAATGTGGTACTGTTAGGTATCATAAATTTGGCAGTGCCTCGCCCTTGTATTACGTTCGATGATCCAATCATCGTAGTCACAGAGGATTTATAGGCTACTAATTGAATAAAAAGTTGCCTATGTCTCAGGATAGTGTGGGTTGTCCCACTATCGACTAAACATTCGAGTTCTCCTCGGGTCATTCCTGTGTAAACATGCATTAGATAATTGTTGGTATATATTTGGATTTCAAAAATTGAATCCAATTATTAAAATAACGATAAGCATGTAATGTCCATAAGCAGGAAATTAAAAGGAATGGGAAAAACATAAAGTTTGTTTAAATTATCTGGTGGGATAGGGGAAATTTAATCAAAGTCCGGTGCATCGACCGAATGGGTGGTGTTATTTTTAACACCAAAATCCGCCACTGTGAGGTTTACATCAACCTCATTTTCTTCGTCTGTCACAAACTGAGATTCATGCTCCTTTGATTCTCTGTATTTCTTGTAGGCAGCAGCAACTCTATTACTGGCTTGGCAATTCTTATACCAATGACCTGAAACTCCGCATCTGTAGCATGGTTCTTCCCCAACTCGGTCTCGTTTGACTGGAGGTTTTGATGGTGCATTATGGGCCTTGTTAGTTTGACCACTGGTCCCACCGCTTGTATCTTTCTTCCACACTTTGGAAAATCCTCCACGGCCCGTACCTCGGCCTCCACGCCCGCCGCGATTGTTGCGCCCCCTTCCACGAGTACGACCCTCTCCTCTTCCACTAGGGTGCTTTCCAGTGTTTGCTTTGCCATAGTTGACCTCGGGAATTTTCTTTGTCCCAACTGGTCTGGCATTGTTATTCAAGAGAACTTGATTTTGTCTTTCAGCAACTTGGAGCAAATTAATTAACTGATTAAATGTGGTTATTCTTTTGTTATTATGCTCCAACCTATACTGGTTCGCTAGTATAAGTGCTGAGGTAGGGAAAGTGGAGAGGGTCTTATCAATCATTTCATCTTCTGTGATTGGTTTACCACAGAAATTAAGGCGCGCTTTGAGGCGTAACATGTCCTTATTAAAATCGTTGATCTTTTTGAAGTCGACTAAGCGGATTTCATTCCATTGCACTGTCAGTTCGGGGAGCAATGTGTCATGTATGTTCCCAAAACGACCTTTTAGTGCGTCCCACAGTTCTTTGGGGGTTTTCAATTGTAAGTATTCCCAACGTAAGCTAGGGTCAATATGGTGTCTAAGGAACATTAACGCAGGAGCCTTTATTTTTTCAGACGGTGCATTATCTTTTAAACTTTCAGGGTCGGCAAGCGTGGCGGAATAGTCTTTAGCCACAAAAGTGGTTTCTATGTCAGAAACCCAGCGATGGTACTCAAGTCCTTCTGAGTCCAGGATGTCAAACTCGGGTCGAGTTGGATCAGTCATCTTAAAATATAAAATTGTATGAGTGTCATTTACTACCATTTATCGCTAAAAAATGAATAAAAAAATGCGATTCTTTGTGTGAAAATTATTTATCACATAAAAACATTGTCATGTGATATGTCTCTTTGCAGACAATATTTTGTATAATGCATCGAAGAGAGGAGATATATATTTATCTCCTTAAAAAAATCATAGAGATTTTTTTAGGATGTTATATGGTGTGTTTAATATATAAAGTATTAATATTGGTCTAATGAATGGATTAGGTATATCTCATTTTTTTTTTGAAAAAAAGAACGAATTTAATAATCCTTTTAGTAATATTATTTATATTGTTGAATTATTGAAAATATATTTTGCCATATATTTTAATTATATAAAAAATGGATCTTAAAAACGAATTTAATTATCTTTTTTTTCGAACTTAAATAGTATATTTTGACAAAAATTTCGATTTTTTTTTTTATTTTAAAACAAACTTCGATTTATCAAAAATAATTAATTATCGAATTTTAGTTATCCAAAATTAATTTGTAAAAACGAATTTAATAACATAGTAGTAATTTAATATGCATATATTTTAAAAAAAATTGCTTCGTATATGCGGATTACCAAAAAATTGAAGTTTTTTTTCGTTTTTTTTTATTATTAATTTCGGGAATGAGATTGAATTTTCTAAAAAAAATGAAAATATATATAAATTTGCTTCATATTTCGTTAAATAATTTTATTGGTGTGAACAAATGGCAAGTTTAAAAAAAATTGACATGAAAATATAGTCTAGAAGTATAAAGAAAAGGCATGTACATGAGTACCATATATATACACACGTAACATTTTATTATGTGTGTGGGTGTATGCATGTGTCAATTGTATGTTATGAATAATAAATGTGCATAAAAAAATGGAATAGTAAAGTCAAGATTTGTCATATATATTCATTTAAAGGTGGCGGTTTTCTAAATAGAATGGAAAAATTGATTTCATTGATTACTTAGTATTATGATATATTTAGAAGGGTATTTGTATATGTTAATAATTTTTTTTGAATTTAAATTCGCACTTTTCATATTTAGATTATTGCCATATATGTTAATATATTCTTTGCATATTAAACATACGTATATGGGGAAAAAATATTAATATAGATGGAAATAAATATTAAACATATATTAAATTGTGAAAACTCCATACGTAATCATATTAAACGTGTATTGATTACGTATACATGTGTATTATATTGTATGAAAACGTATGTAACATATGTATAATTCATATATATACATATTACGAGATCATATTGAATCCATAGGATATGTATACATATATCAAACATACGTATCCATACATTAAATTATGAAAACTCTATTACATATATTTAATGTCTAATATGTTGATTTGAGTATTTAAAAGAGTAATTTTACGTGATTATGGTTCCAACTATATGTATGTGACATATAGCATTACAGAGAAATATAATCACATAATATGTATAAAATATAAAAAAAACATAATATGATGTTAATTCCAACTATATGTATTTATCATATAGCTTTACGGAAAAATATGATCACATGGATGTATAAAAAAATGAAAAGGGATGCATATTGTGATATTAATTCCAACTATATGATTATAACATATAGCATTACGGAATTATAATCAAAAATTGCATCTATCTAAAAAAAATGAATGGGGCATAACATCAAACACTTGGTATGCAAGAAGTTGATTTGAAAAGAATGACAACTTAATCTCAAAAAAATCAATGATGTTCATCAAAATGGTAAACATAATGCAATAAATCATAAATAAGATTCTGCAATGATTTTTGAGTAAACGAGTTACCTCAAAAATTCAGATGTAGAAGATTGCCTGGGTTGATTTGCACAGTAGCCTTAACAGAGTATGGAGGCTGCCTGTGGCGGGATTCTGTCCAGTAGGGGCTGTCCAGGGAGGTCCAGGAGGATTTGCTCCTTTGCTGCTTTATTGATTCGAAGCAAAAGACAAGTTCCGTTGAGCAACTCTCTTTCTACAAGCCAAAGAATTCAATGATCGGCAACTATGGGGAAAGGAGAATGGAGGCGTAAAAAATATATTTAGGTTCAGAGCAAAAGTGTTGATAACGTGTTGTGGGGAATGTGAGAGATGTGTGTTAGTTCATTAGCAAGCCTCCTTTAAATAGGAGGAAATAAGGTTTACAAGGCATGGGCCAATGGGCCATATAATTAAATGCACACAAAACCCTAAATACACTTTCTATCTATAACGAATGCACATTAAAGATAATTTCCTTCAACATTTTGTAATATTTCTCTTCAAAATAGCTCTTTTTTATTTCATTTCCGTATTTTATTTCATTTCCCTTTTTATGTTTTTCTTCTTAATCATTCTCTTCTTATTAAAAATCATTTTCTTACTTTACTTTTTGTTATGTTTTATTTATATTTTCGCTTTTCCACTTTTGTGTTTTCACTTTTAAAATAAGATCTTTAATAGGAAGAGAATGGTCAAGAAGAATAACATAAAAAGGGAAATGAAATAAAAATACGGAAAGAAAAAGAAAACGATAAAAAACAGCTATTTTGAAGAGAAATTTTACGCAAAAAATCTCTCCTAATAGAGCGAGAAATAGAATAATAAAAATGGAAAAGAAATAAGAACAAAATGATAGAAAAAGTAATAAAAAATATCTAGGGATGAAAATAAAGAAAGAAAAATTTTAGGGAGAAAAAAAGAAAAAAGTGAAACATGGGACCGTTTTGAGCATATTTGTGAAAGGTGGGATTATTTATAAAAGGTTTTCAAAGGAAGGGTAAAAAACCAGGTATAGTAGGTCATCAACAGGTCAGGGTTCAACGAAAGAAGATGGGGTGCAATGGCATGATTATTCTGGGATTATTATGAGAAGACCAGTGGAAGTTGGGTTATTTACTTCATGTTTTTCAATTTCTGCCAATTTTGTAGCTGTTTTGTATTAATATTCCAAGATATATCTGTCAACACTTTGGCAGAACTGAAATCATTGATCATGGGAGATCGATGTGAATCAAATCCCCAACGCTAAATCAACCAACTTAATGGCAGATTTATTCCGTCTGAGTTGTCACAATGGTGGCGGTGCTCAGAGGATGGTGGCACTGGTAGATGGTGACGTTAGTCAGATGGTGATGGATGGTGATGTCGGTGGAAGCGACGATGACAACAGGCAGGGTTGGAGACGGCGATAGGCTGCAGTGACAGTGGCAGGCGGCGGCGGTGACAGAGGCGGTGGGACCGGTGACGGCGGAGGCAGGTGACGAGAGTGGTTGAACTGTTACGTTTAAAATTTTAGGCTTTTATGAAATTTTAATTTTACACTTTTAATTATAAAATCAAATAAAAATTGATTGTGCACATTTGTGTACAAGTAGGTAGTTTTAAGTCCTATGAAACATATATAATTTTTGGTCATATTTGTGCACATGAGTTATCTTTTAGTCCTATATAGATAATTGGGAGAACTATCAAATAAGCGCTTGAACTTTCATAAAAAGTGCAAATAAGCCTTTCTGTCCGGCCGTCACCATTTGGGGCGGTTTCCGGTGGATTTCTTGATAATTTTTTTTGAGTATCTTCTTCATTAAGTCTAGTTTATTCATACCAAATTTCATCTAAAAATTCAATCGGGAAGAAAGTCAAATGAATTTTTGAATATAACTGCGCAATATATTTTAGAAAATCATTTCACTGCCTTCTCGATTGAATTTTTAGCTGAAATTTGGTATGGGTAAACTAGAGTTAATGAAGAAGATGCTCAAAAAATATCATCAAAAAATTCCACGGGAAACCGCCCCAAATGGCGACAGCCAGACAAAGCCTCCTGTAAAAGGGCTTATTTGCACTTTTTATGAAAGTTCGAGGGCTTATTTGATAGTTCTCCCTAGATAATTAACTCATACTCCATCTGTCCCATAGAAAGGTTCTTACTTTTCTTTTTTGGACGTCCAAAGTAAATGTTCTCATTTACATTTTAGGAAACAATTAATGATCTTAGATGAAAATTAATAATTAAATATTAAAAATAATACATTTATAATATTCCCTAAATTACTCATATATTACTCATATACTCCCTCCGTCCCTTAAAACTTTGTCATCTTTCTTTTTTGGACGTCCCAAAAAACTTTATCACTTTCCCTTTTAATCAATTATTTTGTGGTTTCTGTTATTTCTATGGGGTTTTGACACAAATATTACTAAAAAATAGACAATGTACAAAAAAGAGACATTTTTTTAACTTTCCAAATATGTGACTAATAAACACCTAACTCCCTAAATTACCCTTCCTAAGTGTTGAGCACAGAATCCAGATAACTAAGCCATAACATTGTCGTACCTACGTATCATTGCATTATCTAGCAATTAAATCTTCCTTCTGTTTTAATATTATTTCCAATAATAGATATTTGGATCTTCCAAAAAGAAATAGATATTTGGATGTAAATATAGGGGACTCAAATATTTAAATTATTACGAAAAAAACTAGTGTGAATATCGTCTGACTTACTATCGTTGCTCCAGTGACCACTGTCCCATTTACTACCGCTCTGGTGACTACCGTTTTATTTACTACCGCTCCAATGACCACAATTCCAGTTACTATCACTGCAGTGACCAAGTCCCAGGTACTACAACTCCAGTGATCACCATTACCGTTACTACCACTCCAGTGATCACCGTCCCAGTTATTACCACTCCAGTGACCGCCGTCCCAGTTACTACCACTCTAGTGACCACCATCCCAGTTACTACCGCTCCAATGACCACCGTCCCAATTACTACCGCTCTGGTGACCACCATCCCAGTTACTACACCTCAGTGACCATTGTTCCAGTTACTATCACTCTAGTGACAACCGCCAGCGATAGTGATAGTGACTACCAAAATCCATTAGTGATGACTCGTCCCGCTAGTGACATGGCGTCGCTAGTTTTAGTTACTCGATCCGCCAATTACAGTTACCTGATTCCATCAGTTATAGTTACCAGACCCGTCCAGTCACATTTACTCAACCCGTTCAGTTACAGTTACCTGATTCATTCAGTTACAATTACTCGACCCCCCAATTACAATTACCGATTTGACCTGTTACAATTATAAAAAACCGACCAATTACAATTACCCGGCCCAATCATTTACGATTACTGATGACCACCACTGGCCACCACCCCGACCACCAACGCCGGTTACTGCCGGCGGCAACCACCTCCGCCACCACCGACGATCACCTCCGGCGACCCCTATCGGACCCCTTCTTGCCTACAATTTGTAACTCCATTGAAGACTACTGCCCCCAGTCCTGATTGTGCCCTTTCCCTAACCCTCATTGCAATTGCAATACATGCCTGTGCACTAGCCCTGGCACCCTCCGACCACACCATTTCCTACCTAGCCCCTTGCCCCTTGGTCCCACCCTAGTCTGTCCCATCCCCAATTTGTATCCCTATTTTCCTCTGCCCTTATGCGCGTATATGACATCTGTTAAACCCAGAATTTAACAAACAACAACCATAGCAAGAAGAATAAGAAGCAGATAGGAAGAAATCGACAAGATTAAAACCAAATCTGGTATACCGTATATACCTGCCGCTGCTCTCCCTGGAGAAGGAGAGCAGCGGCAACCCTAATTTCTCTCTATCTTTACGCCTCTGCGTCTCTAAGCCTCTATCGATCTGTTTGGGTTCCCGTAAGTTAGCCTCCTTTTATAGGAGAAGTTAGCTAACTTACGGGTTACAAGGAAGCCCACGGGCTGATACACATTTGTGGCCCTTATTACACGATTAATTAATAACTACACAAATACAAAGATATTTAATTATATTGGACACCATAAAATATTCCTAACAATCTCCCCCTTGGTGTTCAATCGTGTTGAATCAGCATTGCTGCGCAGATATCTTTGTCTTTGTTGTTATTGAGCTTCCTTTGTCTTTGAACTTGACTTCTGAGGAAGGCTATCTGAAGAAATCCTTGGAATCTCCCCTTTGATGTCTTCTTGAAAATTTGATCTTTGATGCCGGGGGTTGATGGACCTTCTGTATCTTGCATGTAGTCCTTGCCTTCCAGAAGTTGCTCTTGATCAGCTTGGATGAAGTCCGGTGACGCCTCTAGAATGAATATTCTTTGGAGAATAGGAGACGCCCATGGACTTCATCTTCAGCAGATTGAGTATCTGACCTTTGTCCCCTCCACAATGTAGTCTTTTTGACTATTTGGAAAATCTGCATTTGAGGAGAACTTGTCGGTGGCACAGCGGAACATAATGATGGTTGCCTTGTGAGCGTAGCTGACCATTTGAGTTGCGAAGATAGTAGAGAGAGTTTTGGAGGAGAGAAGTGTCCCAGAATGATTTTTTGACAGTTTTAACAGCATGTGGACCACTCTCCCCCTCATGACGATCCGATGAATCGGGACGTCATGCTTTTATTCTTTTATTCTGCGGAAAAAACAGGAAACAAACAGAAAGAGTAAATGATAAAAGCCCCCTAGGGTCGTGTAGACACCCGTTTTCATCACTATAGAGATAAACTCTAAAGCAATGGCCTGAAAATGTTGGTGATTCTTATGTTGCAACAGCAGAACTTCCTTCCAATCATTAGTCTACATCTGCAAAAGATGAGACCTATGGAAGTTCTCGCGGGTCTTTGAAGACCTGCAACTGACTTAAAAAGTGCGTCGGTGTCCTAGAAAATTCAAAACATTTGAGAGTGAGGTAACTAGACACGACGTGATCAATGAAAGTTCAGTGGCATGGGGCTGAGGCCACTGTAGTCAGTATTACTTGCCTCGGAAGGAGACAGTAATGAGAGATGCGGTTCCCCGTGAACTTTGATTAAGCACCTGTCTGTTGGGAGACAAGTGAGTGGTCTAGGGTAGGGTCATGCGCCGTTTGGACAAAATGCAGCGACTTCTACCCGGGATCTGAATAAATTCAGTCTTGAACCTATGGGGATAGTCCAGAGTATTTTAGTGGCTAGGAGAAAATGTTCAATTCATAGCAGGCAATTGAGGTAGCAGACTCATCATTGATAATTGTTTTTCTTCTCACTTGAGCCATCTGCTTCCTAATGCTCATAATGTTCACTCACTCACTCGCTCACTCACGCACTTACGTTCGGCTTTGTCCCTTGGGTAGGCTTAGTTGGGTTTACTAAGCCATAGGGACATATTCTCTCATTACTTTCTTCATTTTCTCTCTGTACTCCCCCTCAACTGGAGCACTCGGTATGCTTTGTCATTGTTAGGCACCGGGGAGGATAACATTGAACACTCCCCCTAAAATGTTGCATCCTTTGAGAGATTCCTTGCTTTGTCAGTGTAAGGCGCCAGGAGGAGAAAACTGAAACTCCCCCTCAGAATGTGCAAGGTTTGATTGCTCACAGCTTGTCATACCCGCCATGTGTGTGGAGCAATCTGAACAAGTACCACACATGACGGTTTCCCTGAGCTCATCATGTAGAATTTCAGCATTTTGATAATCACATAATGTTGACGAGTCAGGGGAGGCTTCAGCAGTTGATTGTTGATTGTTGTAAGATGACCGTTGACGCGAGGTTGATTGAATTATCTACGATTTTCAGATCTTTACATTGAAGTTTAGAAAAGCTTTGACCTCAGGGTTGACATTGAAAGAATTTGAACAGATTTGCCTAAGTTTTGACTTGGACATCGGTGATTTACAATGTTTGTCAGAAAACTAACGTTTTGACCCTCAAAGACTGCGAGTGAGGGCGCGTGAGAAAGGGTTCTGGGGCATAGCTTTCCAACAAAAAAAAGTTTGCTCAAATCGGATCACCGAGTCAACAGTTATGGCCAAAACAGTGCGGTGTCGCAGAAAATCTCTAATTTTGAGTTTTTGAGGAATTTCTTCGAAGTTGAGGTTCTCGATGATGAATATCGAGAGCAGGTGGATTTTAAACAAAATTCTAAGGCAATACTTCGAAATCCAAATCTCGAGGTTGCCTCGAAGAATAATGGCGAAATCCACCTGCAAAACAAACCTCAGAATATCGAAATCTGCAGAATTTCAAAATGTTTGAACATCGAAAACTTTGGAGTTTCGAAAACCTCATAATCTCGAAAACTTGCTGTTTGAAAAACATCAGAACATCGAAAACTCCTGAAACATTTATAAGCAGGGAATCATTCAGAGATCCTATAATGTAAAGCTTCGATGAACTGCAAAGGATGTCAAGATTCGAATTATGAGTTCCAAGAAACTGCAAACTTTGAAAGATTCAAAACATCGAGAAATTTTGAAAATCTCGAAATCTTCAGAATGTCGAGATCCAAAACATCGAGATCCCAAATGTCGAAATCCCAAATCTCGAAATTCCTAAACTCGAAATTCCAAAACTCAAGATTACAAATCTCGAGATCTTGATATCGAGATTCAAATCTCGAGATCTTGATTTCGAGATTCAAATCTCGAGATCTTGATTTCGAGATTCAAATCTCGAGATCAAGATGTCGAGATGCAAATCTCGAGATCTCAAAAGTCGAGAAGAGGAAATCGAGTCCCTAAATGTCGAGATCCTGCAAAACGAAAACATTGATTTTTGAAAATCTGAAACCTGTTCTGAATAGCCCTGAAAGTCGAGATTCTCATGTATCAGTTTCAAGCCAAAAACGTTTCTGCAGCAGTGAAAAATAAGGATTTCGAGATCTCAATGTAGAGATCTTCGAAATATAAAAATCGCAGAAAACGAAAAAAAAGGTATGCTGCTGGATCGATTTTGAAAGGCGAATCCAACAGTATGATTTTTACAAAATTTCGTTCACAAACGAGATTACAGGAGCAGATCTCTACATATAGAAAAACAGAGCAGTTCTTCGTTAGATCCAAAAAAATCGCAGATAGATCCAACCTGTTTCACGCCTCGGCTCTGATACCAAATGTTAAACCCAGAATTTAACAAACAACAACCATAGCAAGAAGAATAAGAAGCAGATAGGAAGAAATCGACAAGATTAAAACCAAATCTGGTATACCGTATAAACCTGCCGCTGCTCTCCCTGGAGAAGGAGAGCAGCGGCAACCCTAATTTCTCTCTATCTTTACGCATCTGCGTCTCTAAGCCTCTATCGATCCGTTTGGGTTCCCGTAAGTTAGCCTCCTTTTATAGGAGAAGTTAGCTAACTTACGGGTTACAAGGAAGCCCACGGGCTGATACACATTTGTGGCCTTTATTACACGATTAATTAATAACTACACAAATACAAAGATATTTAATTATATTGGACACCATAAAATATTCCTAACAACATCCTTCCACACCTAACCTCTGTCATCGCCACCAATGTGTAGCCGCCCACCGCCTGTAAATGTAATAGCAAATCAACCACGACATCAACTCAGAGGACGACATCATCACTCCGTCGAAGAAGAAGACCCATGTCGGCCAGATGCTACACATCAAACGGCGACCGTTCAGATCTAATCTTTGAGAACAATGGTCTGTGAGAAAGAAAGGAGGAGAAGAAGAGGTTAGCCGACAGAGGCGGCGGGCGACTCAGTCTGGTGGGTCGATGTTGGCATGGAGATTGTTGTCCGCTTGAAGAGGAGATCCGCTTGTGGAGGAGTGTTTGTGTGAGATGTTTGAGGGAGACGGTACAGTGAGAGTAGATGGATTAAATGAGCTAGGGGCATTTGAGGTTATTCATACTCACGGTAGTCAGTTTTTTGTCCATTTAGAAACTTAGTTCTATTTATGTCAATAGCAATCCCATTAGTATTATTTGTGTCATTCTTTCTATTTCTATCTCCTCTGCATAAACCTCAACCACACAGTTTTTACTTTATTATTCTCCATGCAAAATTTTAAGAGAGGAGATACTAAATGCTTTGAAAAAGAATCTTTCCAATACCCTTATATACTACCTCCGTCCCAAAATGAACTTCCCATTTCGGATTACGATGCTTGACCGACGATAAAGCAACTTGATCCCTGTTCATACTCAGATTACATTTAGTAAATAAAATTTACATATTGAGAAACTACATTAAAACCGCTACAAAGGCTGATAAAAAAATATAAATTTGATAAAAATTTGATATATAAAACATATGATTAGAGTAATTTAAGTTGACCGTGTAAATAGTGAGTGTGAAATTCCTTTTAAGAGGAAGGGAGTATATTGATACGGTAGAATAAAGGTCATATTTGCACGTTATCCTACCAACGGCACATTTTCTCATACCTGTTGACTATGATTTGCACACCATGGTCGTCGTGTAGATTGTCAAAAAGCTTGTAGCCTTACCACAGACTGGAGTGAGATTGTGTGTCCAACGACGTTCATTCCCTGCAGTGTGTATTGAAGTGCCTTCCGACGAACAATCAAACATCGTTGACTCCCTCGAGCGAGCTCTGTTGTGGCTGGAGGCTATCATAAACATCGAAAGGGGGTGCTTTTTTTATGTAGAAGACGGACAACACAAACACAGCTGCTATTCACATCTCTTGACCTAGAGCGGCACTTGTTGAGCTCTTTCCTCCCTTGATAACTCCAATGTATGCGTAGCTTTTCATGCGATTGAATCATTGAATATCTGGTTTGTTTATTGATCATGTCTTTTTTTAATCTCTATGTCGTAAGGGTTTCTATAAGCTCAACTTTAGATTCTATGGATCCATTGTTGGAGAAAAGTTCTATGGAAGGTGCTGGTTACATTGGCCGGAGTGGAGAGAGAAGCTCCAGTTCTTACCAGTCAAATGGGTTGTCAAGTCAGGTCTATAGTCTTGAAAGAAGAGAACCAGTTAGCAGGTATGCTCAATCTTTATCTATGGTTTCCTTTTTTACCTTAAAACCTGTTAAAAGCTTGCCTTGATCAGTTGAACTTCATCATGTTGTATAGTTGTATTCTACTTTGGGAGTTCTACTTTTTCCTTTTGGCTCTATTTTTCAAATACAAATGTATTATTATCCTTTTAGTTGTTCTGTTTTTGTAGACCGCATGACGCTCATGGTAAAAATGATGATGATTTGGAAAATGGCAAACTAGAGAAAGGTAGAGAGAGGTTACTACAAAATAGCAGGATTATCACACTACATGATAAGGCTTTTCTATCTGGGTTAGCATATTGTATTTCATCGTGCAGCATGATACTAATTAACAAGTACATTCTGTCAAGCTATGACTTTAATGCCGGGATATCATTGATGCTCTACCAGGTCCAATCTCGTTTCCTCAATACAATTCTTGTTATTTAAATACTTTATATTCACCCCCAAAAAGAACATAGAAAGTGCAAGAATAGTTTCTGTATTTATGACAACTTTTATTTTCCTATATGCTGCAGAATTTTGTCTCGGTCGTGGTAGTTTCTAGTTTGAGCTTTATAGGCATAACATCCACTGAGCCACTGACATGGAAGCTTATTAGAGTCTGGCTACCTGCTAATTGCATCTTTGTTGGGATGCTTATCACAAGTATGTTTAGGTATAATATGAAGTTATGACACTTATGTCTGTTGCAACTTTTGTATTGACAAAACATCAAAGTGCTAAAACTTCACACATAATGTAATCTCTTATTATTTTCAATTTGAGGACACTGCTCATATTTTTGTTTCCTGCAGTCTAAAATACATTAATGTTGCCATGGTCACAGTCTTGAAGAATGTTACTAATGTGATTACTGCTGTCGGTGAAATGTATCTTTTTAGCAAACACCATGACAGCAGAGTTTGGGCTGCTCTTTTCTTTATGGTATGCTTTGAATTTAGTATTCCTTCACATTTATATTGTTTGAATCTTTTAAACTCTAAAATCAAGAAGTGAGCACCTTGTTTGGTTGTCACCGGCATTTGATTGCATTTCACTTCATCTTTTTGCATCTCAATATGTAATCATGGTAGCGAAATTTGATGTTTAATGTGATTTTCAACAAAGCTACTAAACAATGAGCATGTTCAACTGGTCAATAGTTTCCTAAAATATAATTCATCCATGAGAGCCAGTGAAGAGAGGGTACATTCTAATCAATCTCCAACCTTACTTTCAAGTTTGCCGGAGTTGATATTGAGTTTTGCATTTGAATGATGATGTCATGCTGAATGATGTTTTCATGTTGAATGATGTGTAGAATAAGTCACAGGATTGGGCATTTTCATAACGTGGTTTTTGGCACACGGTTCGTGGCATTACCACCCACTGTTTTGACCCTCCTTTTTTGGTCATTGTCTCTACTTCATTGTACAAGTAATATATACTATCACATTCCTTACTCTTTCGACATGACATCAAAAGACATCATTTAATCCTTTCCCACTGTTGTATCCATCATAACCACCTTACCCCCAACCACCTTTAATCCAAAATTAGTTAACTACAAATTCAATCTCCATCCATCCCACACAAAAGATCATATGTAATTGCTGGACTTTTGGAGTTCTGGAATTCTGTTGTTGGAGATATTTTATTTCATTATAAATGACAATGCATGCAAGAAATTTTGGTAATTGTGCACGAATCATTATGTTGAAATTAATATATCAGAAATTGACTAAGAGGTGGGGTGTGAATAACCTTCTATCGTTAACATTAGTATTGCATTTTTTAAGTTTCCCTTCCTGTTATATTTTCACACAGAATGGTTTTATTAAACATATACTCCGTATAAGTCAGCTATTGTATATTGTAGTCAAGGTCCCAAGGGCTGGGTTATGCTAAACCTTTTGCTTCACTTCATTAGTTTTACAGAGTGCTGCATTTGTCTTCCATATGACCATATAGCAGATGCACACATTTTCATCAAGTTAAATTTGTCAGCACATATTGTTATTAATGAAGTTTGACTTTGTGCGTTTATGTTACACAGATAATGTCAGCAATCTGTGGAGGAATTACTGATCTTTCTTTTAGTGTTGTTGGATACACATGGCAGATTATTAATTGTTTCTTGACAGCATCATACTCTGTGAGTTTTTTACTTTTGGTTCTTTTTAGTCTTTTCTGTGCTCTTGTTCTCATTCTAAGCCCTTATATTGGGTTGTTATTCTTGTGTTGGAGAGATATTTTCTACTTCTCATTGGAAATGAATATTGAAAAGTTGCATTTGATTAATCATTTCATGGGTACCCATATTTGGAAATACTTAAGGATATGCTACTTTTCAGTTTTCGTTTTTAAAAAGCGAGATGAATATCTGAAGTGTATAGTGTTTTTTCAGCAGTGAGTAGATAGCCATGCTTCTTAGTTACTCACTTTCTCTTATGTAAGCGTATATTAGTCAACAAATAGGAACCCACATATTACTCACTTCCTCTTACTGTGTTGCCATCTTTTGTGGTCGTGGTTTTGTAGCAAATTATAACCAACACATTGTACTGGTAGTTTTTTGTCATTTGTTCCCTATCCCAAAAAAAGGTACACGTGTTTCTCTACTCTTAGAAGCCGCAAAGCCTTCATTCTATTTGTATCTGGATTTGAAAGTAGCAACAATTTTGCTTGGGTATCCATCTGGAGAGCTACTTCGTTATCTTATATGTTGATGATATTTGGACCCATTTTTTTATAGAAAAGTCATAAATATCCTTATTACTACAACTCGTTGAATGTTTTTACCAGACCTCTTGGAGTGTTGCGCCTTCTCTTTCTTCTATGCTCACCATATTATACTATCGCAAACAGTGTAAAGTCATAATGGGTTGTTATGGTGCAGCTAAGTCTACGTAGGATTATGGATACTGCCAAACAAGTCACGAAATCGGGAAACCTGAATGAATTCTCAATGGTCTTGCTAAGTAACACTCTATCATTGCCCTTAGGCATCGCGCTTGTCATGTTGTTCAATGAGGTGGACTATCTCTCTAGAACGTAAGTTCTGCTTAAAAGTTGTCCATTGACCTCATGCATTGTAGCACTATACTACCTCTGCTTTACAATAACTGGCGCTTTGGTTAAAAAATCGGTTCACAATATGTCTCAGTTTTATATAATCAAGAGCATATTGAATAAATAAGAGCATACATAAAAATATAGTAGAATATGAATTAAAATACAAAAAAGGAGGAGTAGAATAGAGAGTGTATTAGTAGTTTAATAGTTAAGTTTCCTTTTGCTCGTCTTCACCTCAACGCTCCATTATAAGTAGTTTTTAATACTTTCAACTTCCAAGAAGGGTATCTATCGATTATGGGTAGTTTAGGTATAATATGGAGTATTATTTTTTGCAAGACTGAAGGACATATAATCAGTTACCGGTGGTTTAGGTAATACGGAGTATTATTTTTTGAAAGATTGAAAGATGTATAATCAGATTCTTTATATGTGTATGACCCCCCTTAAATGCCAGTTATCGTGAAACTGAGAGTATAGTTCTAGTCCTAAGTGAATAAACACACACACACACACACACACACACACACATATATATATATATCAATGAACTATTCTTTGCATCTTGATGACAGACCACTGTTACATTTGCCTATATTTTGGCTGGTGATAACTTTAAGTGGATTTTTGGGCTTAGCAATTAGCTTTACATCAATGTGGTTTCTTCACCAAACAGGTGCTACAACTTACAGGTATGAAACATAAATCGGAAAGCCCTTATCTTATGCTCCCTCTTTTTAGGGATCAGCTTTGCAGATTAACTTTGGATTTAAATGCTGATGTTGAAGAATGTTGTACGGTTATACGGTTATACCCCCTCTGTGATGAAAGAAGAATCTTGGTTTTTGTACTGTTTAAGTATTTCCTTGGGTGAAACGGAGCTAGTACTTTTCTTGATAGAAACAATGGAGCCTATGTCTTCTGCCTTGATTAGCTAATGGAGGCTTCGATCCTGCCCTCCAACTAATATCCCCAACCAAGTTAGGATGTGCAAAGAGCCACTAGGGGGGGGGGGGGGGGGAGGTATATGGGAGTTTTTTTTGGAGGGAAAGGCAGTAGTAGTACATGTTTTGTTTCTTTAATATATGACCGAGTCAGTATGACATATATATATGAACGAACGCAGACACCGCCCAAGCATATTGGTTTGTGTATATAAGGTATATTTCACATTTTGGTTCTCACATTGTGCAGCCTAGTGGGATCATTAAACAAGATACCTTTATCTATCACTGGCATCCTTCTTTTCAGTGTCCCCACGAGTGTGGGGAACTCCTGTAGTATTTTCTTTGGTCAGTTTCCTCTTCCTTTTCTCATCACTGTCAGCATTGATGATACTAAATCAAATAAATTCATTATGTTCTTTCGTAGACTATAAATTTCATTCAAAACGTGGATTTTCTCTGGCAGGCCTCTTGGCTGGAGTTCTCTTTGCCCGGGCAAAGATGCGGGAACGATCGTCTCATTCTTGAAGTTAAAGATTCAAGCGTTATATCCAATGTGCACTTTCCATATATGTATTAAGTGTATATAAATAATATCTTTGTAAAGAACTAGTGGTACTGCATTACTTCAAAGTGCACACGACAAACACAAGACCAAAACAAACTAAAAATAGATACGGAGTAAAAAAGAAGCCTCTTTAGAATGAAAGTAGTTTGAACCCCCCTCGACTCGTGTGGCTGTTATGCTCCTTTTAGTTTGAAAATATACTTGGTTCATTGAAATTCAGTTTTGTGTGAATTGTGTTGTATTTTTTAGGATATTCTCACATTTTCCCCTAGGGGAAAAAGTGAGATTAACTTTAGAAGTGCAAATATTGATGTTTCTCATTTAAGGATTGTGATTGATAGGAATGAAAAGAATTTTCAGGTTTGTCAGTTGCTAGAGAGGAACTTAATATTTCTTGAAGTTTTGCATTTATGTGGAAAATGACTTTAAAATGAGGAATTGGCTTGCTTCTTTTGGTTTTCCTTTGTTGTGGGTTAAATGTAATATTATACATGACAACACATCTTATGTCTCAAGAAAGTATATACTTAAAAAAAACTATTTCTCAGGCACAGATTTAGGTTTGTGCTATTGTGCAACAATTTTTTCCAGCCAAAAAAGAGCCTTAGTATAAGTGTGTTCATTATACAATTTTAATATAAAAATGTATAAAAAGAGCCTTACTACTACTGTCCATTTGATTATTCGAAAAGCTTTTGAAATCATTGGTTTTAAAGGCACTTTTCAGTTGGGGTTTTTAGATCCAAAACATATTTTGATACGTTTTGATAAGGAGGAAGATTTCATTCGGTGTTGGACTAGACAATCCTGGGTTATTCAGGGTCATGTGATGAGAGTCACGAAATGGACTCCGGAATTCAAACCTAATGTTGAATCCCCCCGGTAGTTCCTGTGTGGATTGCTCTTGAGGGACTGCCAATCCATCTTCGGGATAAATCAGCCCTCTTTGAGATTGCTTCTTTGATAGGAAAGCCTCTAAAAATTGATGAAGCTACAGCTACACTATCAAGGCCTTCTATGGCAAGGGTATATGTTGAAATTGATCTCACTAAGGAGATGCCTTCAAGGATATGGATCAACTGTGGAACTTTGGGATTCTCACAGCCTATTGTCTATGAGAATAGGCCGGAATACTGCTCAGCCTGTTTGCATTTAGGCCATTCTCAATTAAATGTCCTAAAAAACAGCCTGATCAGGCTAAAGCTGTTGTTTTGCCCAAGGAAAAAAAGGAAAAATGGGTTCAGAGAAAGGAAACAAATGCTACTGGAAAGTTTACAACTGCTACTGGAAAGCTTACAAAGGAAGAAAAAGGGAAAGCTAAGGTGGTTACATATCATCCAGAACAGAATATACAATCAACTTCTAAGACTGTTGTGGAGGATATTCACTCTGATAGTGAAACTGATGTTGAGGAGGTCTTCTCTGAAGAGCAGCCTGCAAATAAAGATGAGGGTCATATCAGTGGAGGAAAAAATTTGTCTGCAGAGGAAGAAAATATCAGTTTCAAAGCTTTGTTAGAGGCAGATGCTCCTGGAATTACCAAATCAGATCCCAGGGATATTATAGGTTGTCAAGATGATACCCAGATCACTGGGATGGAAAGTGTTCCATCTCAGGCAATTATTAGAAACTGTTATTCAGATGGGGAGGAAGATCATCATGCCAATCCTGAATCTTTTCTAGAAGGGTGGTCTGCTATTTGCGATGAAGTAGCTCTTATTGTCAAAGCCAAAGCCACTGAGGATGCCATTCCCACAGAGAAACCTGCAGATTCAATCATACAACATGATGCTATTTCAGGGGAAGGGAACCAAGATGCAGATAAAACAAGTAGCAAGGCAGCTATTAAACAACCTCATATAGAGAATCAGAATAAGAGAATTACAAGAAGTGCAGCTAGGGGGGCAGTCAATGGTTCCTGTAAAAATGTACAGTCGAGTTAGTTGTAGATAAATTAGAATACTTAGCCTTATCTGATGTAATTTACTCACACGTACGATAGTATTAGATAAGTATGGTTAGGTAGTCAGATCCTATTTTTTAGGATCTCATCAGTTAGACTGTTAGACTCGTATTCTATATATATTGTAACCGAGTGATGGAATGAATCAATCAATTCTATTCTCCCAAACTTACATGGTATCAGAGCAGGTTGTTTAAACACCACAATGGTGGAAACCGAACACTCTGATTCTTCCCCCCACTCACAAACCCATCACCCTAACTCCCAAATTAGCCAAATGACAAACTACCAGGCCTCGGTTAATTCATCTATGCTCATTACTGGACATAGATTGAATGGAACCAATTATCTAGAATGGTCACAGTCTGTCAAGCTGGCAATAGATGGAAGAGGAAAGTTGGGATACATAACGAGTGAAGTAGAGGAGAAGAAGAGTGGTGATGATGGCTACAGCGTCTGGAGGTCAGAAAATTCTTTGGTAACAGCCTGGCTTCTCAGTTCAATGGATGCATCAATCGCCAAACCTCACATGTTCATGAAAACTGCAAAAGAGGCGTGGGATTCCATTAAAGAAACCTATTGAGATCTTGAGAACTCTTCTCAGATTTATGAATTAAAAACAAGGTTGTGGCAGTCCAAACAAGGAAGTAGAGATGGCATCTCATACTATAATGAGATGGTATCTCTATGGCAAGAGTTGGACCAATGCTATGATGCTGAAGACTGGGAAAGTGTAGGGGTGGACTCGGGCCGGGCCAACTGGCCCGGAACCGGACCGGACCGGCCCGCTAATGTGCGGGCCCGGACCGGCCCGATGAACCGGTTGGTTGGCCGGTTCAGGCCACCCGGCCCGGTAGGATCTCAGTTCGGGGTCGGGCCCTTCAAAAGGTGAACCGGCCCGGCCGGTTCGGGCCCGGGCCGGGCCAATTTTATTTTTTTTTTGAATTTTTTTAAGTTTTTGGGTTGGGCTGGGTATTTTGGGCCATTTGAGGTGGTTAGGGTTGGTTTGGGGGTGAGGGGGAGAGTTGAGGGTTAACTAGGAAAAGCCCAAAAAAAAAAATATAACTGAGGCCCGGCCCGGCCCGGACCCAGGGGTTACCCGGGCCGGTTCCGGGCCTCCCATACCTTGAACCGAGGTCCGGCCGGTTCAAGGCTCGAACCGGCCCCAACCCGAACCGAGTCCATCCCTAGGAAAGTGCCAAGGATCTGGCAAGACACAAGAAGAGGGAGGAAAATGACAGAGTCTATATGTTCCTAGCAGGAATTAATAGAGATATGGATGAAGTTAAGGGAAGAATACTTGGAAAAAAACCTCTACCTTCAATCAGGGAGGTATTTTCTGAAATCAGGGTGAAAGATAGTAGAAAAAGGGTCATGAATAACACTCCAGTCCATCATGATGAACCTGGAGAGTCCTCAGCAATGATTGCCAAAGGAAATGAGAAGAAGAAGCCTTGGTGTGATCATTGCAAGAAGTTGTGGCATACTAGGGAAACTTGTTGGAAGATTCATGGCAAACCACCTGGAGCAGGACAAAAAAAGGTTGAAAGGACCCTACATACTGCCACACCTGAAACTGATCAAGAACAACAAGTCAATTTCAAGCAGCCAATTTTCACCAAGGATCAGATAGAGCAAATCCTACAATTTCTCAATACCCAAAAGAGCCCTAAATCCGAGAACCCTTCTTGTTCTTTTGCTCAGAATGGTAAAATTGCATCATTTTTCTGTTCTGGAAAACCAAATACCACCCGGGTCATTGACTCAGGTGCAACAGACCACATGACCTCCATTTCCAATCTATATTCTTCTTATAAACCCTGTGCAGGGGATAAGAAAATTAAAGTTGCAGATGGCTCTCTTTCAGCCATTGCAGGAACTGGAAATGTTAAAGTTTCTACTTCTATTGATCTTTCTAAAGTCTTACATGTCTCAAACCTATCCTGTAATCTTGTTTCTGTTAGCAAATTAACCAAAGATCTCCAATGTTGTGTTAAATTTTATCCTTCATATTGCATTTTTCAGGATCTGGCATCGGGGAACATGATTGGCAGTGCTAGGGAAGAAGATGGACTCTATATTTTTTATAAAGGGACTGAATCAAATAAACAAGGTCAAAGAAATACTTGTCTGCAAACTATTACTTTTCCCAGTAATAATGAGTTGTATTTAATTCATTATAGACTACGTCATCCTAGTTTCCATTATTTAAAAAAGTTGTTTCCTCAATTATTTCATAATAAAAATGTTTCACAGTTTTATTGTGATATGTGTGCACTTGCAAAGCATCATAAAAATTCATATCTTCCCCACAGTTACAAACCTACCAGTCCTTTTACTCTTGTGCATAGTGATATTTGGGGAGCATCTAGAATCCCTACCTTAAAAGGAAAGAGATGGTTTGTAACAATTATTGATGATCATACAAGAATGACATGAGTATTCTTAATCAAGGAAAAATCAGAAATAGAATATGTATTTAAGCAGTTTTATGCAATGGTCCAAACTCAATTCAATACCAATATCAAAATGGTAAGAAGTGATAATGGTCGTGAATACTTTTCTACAAATCTGAATCAATTTTTTGCTGAAAAGGGAATAATTCATCAAAGTTCTTGCATTAATACTCCTGCTCAAAATGGAATTGCTGAGAGGAAAAATAGATATTTACTTGAAGTTACACGTGCAACATGTTTTCAATGAAAGTTCCAAAATATTTATGGGGAGATGCTGTTTTACATGCTACCTATTTAATAAATAGGATGCCATCAAATGTTTTAGGGTTTAAAACTCCAATTAGTATTGTTCAAGAATGTTACCCTACTACTAGATTGATTAGCACTCTTCCTTTAAAAATCTTTGGTTGCACCATGTTTATTAAAAATCCAGACAAAACTACAAGTAAATTTGATCCTAGAGGAACTAAGTGTGTCTTTCTAGGTATTTCATCCACACAGAAAGGGTATAAATGCTTTGATCCTTCAACAAAAAAGATGTTTATTTCAATGGACACTGTTTTTGTTGAAAATCAAGTATTTTTTGATACTCATCTTCAGGGGGAGAGTTCAAATGAAGATGCTAACAATGTGTTACATAGTCATGACAATCTTGATTTTCTTGACATTAATCTAGATATGCATTCTATTGGAAACTTAGATGCATTAGAAAATGGTCAAACATCAGAAAATAATGAAATAAATACAACTGATAAA